CAGCTTTAACAGGATGATAGAGCAAGTAGAGGTAGATAGGAGATTTTGAGACAATATTCTTGAGTAGCCTGGTCTGAGTGTTTGTGTATATGGTTGCTATTCCAAAAACATCCTGGAAAGAATGGAAGAAAATCTGAGTGTACAGACAAAATATTTTCACGTGTTATGGTAATTGTGCACTGTAAAAGCCTTTTCCCTCCAAAATGCTGTGTTTGGAATTATTAGAGTATCTGCTTATAGCACAATAAATCGAACCCAGCCTCCCCAGTCCAACCATGTAGATTTGGTAGACTTGCTGACCTAAGTAGGTGTCGAACACGTCCTCTCCATGCAAATTGCATTTGCCTACCTTCTGCACAACACAGTTAACTGTAATTGTGGGTGAGCCTTAAAGCTTGCCTCGGGCCCAGAATACAGGTTCCCAGGAAAGCTAGTTTTTGTCATCCCAGTGAGGTGGTTATAAGTTTGGTGGTTGCAATGTCCAGAGTTTCAGAAGCTGGAGAAAGATGGGTGGGCTTCAGTAATTCTGGATTGTATTGCATAATGTGGTTGTGTGCCCTGAAGACCTTGGGTTGCCTTCCAGAATCTACTCTCTTTATAAAACAGAGTGTAATGGACCTTCCGTAATTGAAAGAAGAACAAAACAGAGGCTAGTATTTGTAGATCAGTCTTGCACTTCTTCAGCTACTCCTAGGTTTTGGAAGCGCTTTGGGGATTTTGAGATTAATGGGTATCCAAGTACAAAGAGCTCCAATGGATTCCAAGAGACGTTTGGTTTCTTTGGCATAACATGAGTTCTCGTCTTTCACATTTTAAAGTCTGATAAAGCCAGGCAGAAAGTACTCTTTGGCTAAAGCTTAATCTGGCAGACTCTGCTAAAGAAGAATTAAACATGCTCCCACTCGTAGCGAACTCTGAAAATGATAAATGTATGCACTGGGGGAAAAAAGAGTTTCAAAACAGGCTTTCATAATCAGGAAACATTTTTTTAAAAAAATCCCTGGAATGCCATCTGAGATAGTTTATTTATAGCCCGTGCATTAAAGTGAAAAAGTACAGAAGGGGTCTTAAGTGGTGGACTCTCTTGAAATATTGCTTTGTTTAAATAACAGAATTACTCAGACTGATTTGTTGGGAGGAGAAATAATGTTTGCAAAAGACGTGCTTAAAAGCATAGGAGAGTAAGGGGTGAGGAAAATTACATAATGTGGTATGAAGGGGCTGCACGTTCCCCCAGTCTTTCTTTGGCAGATATGCTCCTCTGCATAAGGATCTGCATTTTGAGATGTCAGAGGAGACGGCAGTTGTGCAGGAAATGAAACATAATGACCACAACCCAAGCCAGAGGTCGTGTGACCCTGGATTGTGGCTTATGCCTTGTGAGCTTATTGCTGTAGCTGAATTAGATGGTAGGTGATTGAATTTTGAGTGGGTGGTGCAGAGGGCACACCTCCAGCGAAAAGAGTGGAGGCACTGTTATATGGACTCCTGCATTTAAAGGCTCCCTCTGCAAATAAGGATGGTGGTACATCAGGAGGCAGTTCTCTTGCTCTTCCCACTTGTGGCTGTGCTACCTGTGGGAGATTTCTTATGGCAGAAATTAAAAATATGATTCCATCATTTGCAGCATCAAGACGTTGTGCAATCCAGCAATCCATATTACCTAGCTTCATATGGGTTACTTGGCAGGTTGATTAAACTGCTGGACTGAACTTCCAGTCGTAGTATGGGAAACTTTTTTTTCCCCTCCATGAAGACCTCCCTCCCTAACGTCAAGAGTATAGTACTTTTCTCTTGCAGGGATGGTTCTTTTCTTTTTTCATACAAAGTTGATCTCTCGCCGGTTGACTCAGTTTCTTCTGTTGAATGTGTAGGCCAACTGCAGGAAAGATCAAGTTTCTGTCTTCCTGGAGTCTTTCATAGAAGAAACATGATTTGGGGAGGGGGGTTGCAGGGCTGGAAGGTCATCTTATGGCTATTTCTTTTGAGAGAGAGAAAGATGGTTACGATCTTAAGCATAATTCCTATGGATTAAGCTGTATTACTTCTGGAGATGAGGTGGTAGGAAAGGTGGAAACGTATTGTCTAGAAGCTAATCAGCATGTGTAGAACCTTCTATGTGTTTTGTTCAGTTTTCTGAGAATTCAGGCTCTAAATTGTATGGAATCTTAATACGAATCTGTCCCTGTGACATCTTTAGACTTAAGCTTCATTGTTTTGATGTGCAGAACTTGTGGGCTCGTGATGCTTAGTTTGAACTAATGATTTAAACATTCTTACAACTGCTTTCATTGCCTTGTACATCAATAAAGGCGAGATGGTTGTTTTGCTGCATAGAGGGAGGGAGAGAATAGATAAAGCAGTTGACACTTCAAAATATTAATCAACTCAGCCACAGTCAGGTACTAGAATGTTTTCTGGAGAAAAAAAAAGGAGACTTAAATAGCTCAGTATCCTTAGCTGCGTTGGTGTGTGACAGCTGGTTCCAGTAATTTGCTTTTATAGAGCGGTTTGTTGTAAATGAATGGCATGTTGAATATTTTACCACAATTTCAGATTATCTGAAGAATATTTTCTGGTATACTAATTGGTAGCTAATGCTCAGTACATTGATGTTGACATGAGCAAATGGATTTAAAATGATTTTGAAGTGAGCTTCATTAGAAGATGCTCTAATTCAGAGTCAACAAGAAATGTCAACCATTATGCCTTTTCTTGCTCCTGAAGACCAGACGGTGTAATGCTGGTATCATCTGCATCTTGGCAAGCTGCACAAATCAAACTATACCCAGGCCTATTTTGCTGACATGATGTATGCCATTAACCAAATAGGGTTGTTCAGAAGTAAGGATGGACAGAATTCATAGACCAGCTGGTTTGGAGTGGTTCATGCAGAAATGGAGACATGCACACTTGGTATGAATAGGGACTGAAAAAGGGCTGTTTGATTCTGGTTTGAGACTGAAACATGGTTATTCTGCACAGAAGTGTTTCAGGAGGAAGGAAGAGCCGGAAAAAGCCAAGGACAGTGGTGGTGGTGGTGGTTGAGGCGAAGCAGGGAAGGTGTGGGAAAGCCATTGGTGGGCAGATAGGCTGGGGGGACTGCTAAGGGGAGATGGGTGGCAACAGACAGCAGCCGCCCGACTGGCTCTTCAAAAGAGTCTAGCATCCTTGCGGCTTTTGTTTCTGCTGATGAGTTGAGGAGGGTTTGGTAGAAATTCTGAAATGCAGGGTGCTTCAGGTCCAAAATGAAACACATTTTCCACTCTCTGCAGGCCTTTGACAGGTGCTCATGCTGAGAAGGTTCCTGACCATGTTCATATATCTGAAACATGTTTGTATGTGGATGTCTTAAGATTGCAGATTTGACATTAACAGTTGATGCTGTGAGATGTTATTGTGTGCATGGAACATATTGTGGCATAAAACATTAAGCTGCTGTGAATAAGTATGGTGTAGAAAAATCTGGACGTCTGAGTACTGTAGATCCCAATGTGAGTCAGCAGGAGTGTTATACCTCAAGATTCTTCAATGTAATTCTTTATTGAATTAGCTTCAGCATGGGAATGAACTTTAAACTCTAGGTAGGACTGGAAAACCATCATAGGAACACCAGAAGAGCCCTGTTGGATCAGGCCAGGACACATCTCATTCAAGGTTCTGGGACACAGAACTACCACCGGTTGCATCTGGGAAGAAAGTGGAGGCCTGAGTGAGATGCTGTTCCTTCACAATCAGTCCCCAGCAGCTGGTATTTCAGGTCTCCTGCCTGGGAATCGAGATGCTAGAAACAGTCCAGAACTGGGAACCTCACTGATGGCCCAGTCAGGTCTCCTTTCAAAAAGGTCTGAGTTGGTGATCATCTCCTTTCTTCCTGGTGCAAGTCTAAACCCTATAGAGATCATTAATGGGAAAGAAAAGAAAAGAAAAGAAAAGAAAAGAAAAGAAAATAGGTGATGGGCGTGGAGACAAGCCTTGAATCCAATTTCTCTGAGCTTTTAAGAGGCTGGAGAGTTGTATGTGGTGACTTGGAACTGGTGACCTATGGCTGCTGTGTTT